GGTTTTTTCCTTAATAAATTAATTCATCATTTGAAAACTGCATGGTATCACCAATTTAATCCAAAATAAATTGTAAACAAATGCAACTGTCTGATAATCCAAAACATTCAAGTGTAATAAATACATTAGAAGCAATGTTTAAGCAGGCAACATGTTTTCACAGCACTGTACAGAATCTTTTTCAATCTTTAAGGCAAGGCAAGGCATCCAACCTACTCTTTAATGAATATTAGTATTATTTAAATTCCAATCTCAATGCCAGAAGGAGAAGTACATGGTCTGTCTCGGCTTTATTGAAAAATGCTATGGTAACTCTTTATGAAGCAAACACAACTGCAGCTAAATGCAAAGAAATGAATGAAAAGACCCGGGTTGGTGATTTTTAAATTCTACAATATTTCTTGTGAAAGCCAAATCTGCCTCAAGAAGATATATCTAGTTGCTGTCTGCATCTGACTTTTGTCTTCTGAAGGATGTGTTATAATAAGTCCTGAATATGAATATGTAAGCTTCAAGCTTGACATCCTGTATCTATGTTTCAGTCTCTTATTTTAAAGTACGGCAGTTCTTGAGTTGTTGCACTATAAAATTGACCAAGTTGATTAATATTGATTGCTCATCGGGCTGGCTGATAACACTGGCTTACATCAATATTGAAGAAGCCCCGAGCAATTTAAACTTTATCTGGCAGTATTTTGGTTATTTGGTATGAAGAAGAAATGATGACAGAGGGACAGAAAAGACACAGTTTCCAGTGTTTAGCTTTTTCACAATATTTAACGTTTTTGTGACACTAAATTTAGGGGGTTTCTTATCTGTAAGCCATAATTGGCCAAAATTACAAGAAAAAAGGCTTGAAATATTTCACTATGTGTAATGAAGCTATATAATTTTCACTTTATGAAATTAGTGACAAAAAATATCAATATCACTATATTCTAATTTTCTGAGATGTACTTGTATATTGCCAAAACAAAAACTGTAAGGAATCATTCAAAATTTATCGTCGCTTTTATTATTCTTGCCATAGATTCCCCGAAGAATAAAAATTTCGGTCCATATTGCCCATCCCTAATGCTGAACACTGCATCCCACATGAGCTTCAGTTTTGGAAATTCTCTGTCCCAATAACCTATCAAAGTTTAAACTCACAAAAATTGTGTCTAACCCATCGTGTTTAAGGGACAAACATGTTTTCTTGCTGGCTGCGATATCCCACCCACTAAAAGGTGCAACAATAAAGTGATAATCTGTGTTATTCTCGCCACCTGTTAGTGGTCATAATGTTATACCTGATTCCTTTGTAATAACATGACTAAGATTAGTTTGGGAGTTGAAACACAGAGCTGACACAAGTCTAAGAACAAGATGCCGCTGGCATGTCCTTAGGACAGAGAGGAATTTCCATTTGTATAACAGATATGGCAATTATACATTATAAATATTAATTTCTTATAACAAGTGACACACATGACCTCACTCATCAAAGTAGCAACATATTGTAGTTAATTCTTTTTTTTAAAGGAGGCAGACATTTCTTTCAACATGGCTGCTTTTTCAGTGAGATGATCCTTATTAAAACAAACAAATGAGATGGTGCATGTTAAAAGCAACCATTAATTTCAACTAGCTTCAAATATCCAAATTCTTGTGCCTTTAGGTTGTTTTTTGTTAGACATTGCTGATATTACTCAGATATTATTCAGTCAGGACAGAATTCACTGTTAGAAATGTTAAAATGTGACGATTGTTACCATACATCTAGATAAAAAGGGCACATGTGTCCTAGAAGGTCAGGGAGTTGTGACTTAAACAGCAAATGACATTCAACATGATCAGAAAACTTAGACTTAACCTTTGGTTATCCAGCCATCTGTTGAAATTTACTGGATTGTGCTCTAATTGTGTGTGAAATGCCCCTACTGTAGGAGGATGAGACTGACAAACAGCAGTGAAATACAGTAGGGTTTTAAATAATAATAGATTACCAAAGTAGCATACATTTGGTGGTTTGTTCATCAATTAAACAAGTGCAAAACCATACAGAACATTAGTTCAAGTTATCAATGTACAATACAAAAATACAGTACTTAATTAATCTCAGAAAATAAATGCTGGAGTAACTGAAACTATTAAAGTTTTTTTTATTTCTTTAAAACATTCATGACCAAAATCCAAGAAGGTAAATTTGTCCTAAAGAACAAACTGAGACATCTCATAACTGACTCAGAGCAGTTTAAATGTTAATTTTGTTTTAACAAAAAGTCTTCCAGTGGCTAATAGAGAGTGAGCTGTAGTAAAAAACAGAGAAGGAAGTGACTTCACGGTGGTTTCCAGAAATTACTAGTTTTAGTGGGATTGTTTGGTGGGTGATTTGTGGGAATGGTTTTAATGTTGCACTGAAAACTAAAGATGTATCATTTATATTTTGTTCACAACCATAATCAAGTAAATCATTGTTGAAGATTAAGGGTTTTGAATAAACTTAAGTAAACTGCAGTCAAAGGGTGGATAATTTCTGAAGCTTGCTTTAGCCCACCTCAGAGCTTTGTCTTGAAATGATCCAATCATGTAGGAGATTTTTGAATCATCATTAAAGAAAGTTTGAGGCAAGTGACTGAATACCAGAGAAATCCTACGCAACTGTTATGTTTCTTAGATGCTTCCTGACCCACATGCAGAGTCACACTCAATTAATTAATTAATCAAATTAAAAATTAAGTAAGATTCATTTACAAAGAGTAATAAGAAGGAAAGGTACAAAGGGAGACTTCTGTAGCGTCTTGGGAAACAGGCGTATGATTTAATTATCTTTAATTATCTGCAATAAAGGCGAATGGCTCACTGTTCATTATCAAAGGGTGTTTTTGAGGAGAGGTGGAGGTCCTGGTGATGACCTGACAAGGTGGATTGTTTGTGTTAAGACGAGTTCCAAGATGAGTTCCTGTGTGAGCGCATCGGGTTGAGAGTTTGTGGTTTGGGTAGAGGGAGTTGGATGGTGGGCAGTCAGGTTAGGGCTGAAGAATTGGGAGCTGCAGTGTAAGACAGAGGGCTGGCTTCTGGACTGATCTGTCTTGAAGAGGCTTGACTAGGTAACTTGGCAAGGCGTGAGGCCACTAGAAAGAAACCACATTGGTAGGCACAAAAAAAAGTACTAAGCATAAATCAAAGGCAGGCAAGGCAACAATCGAAATCAGGCCTAACCAAATTTCTCAATGAGACGGTTTGGTTTGACTTCACCAGTAGGGCTGAGCATTAGGTAAAGAATGGTCTTCTAGCAGCTCCTATAATATCCCAGCAACTGCTGTACGTTCAGCAACACTACAACACTACAACACTGTGCTTTGCAGATGTGGCTGAGGTATGAGTGATGGGGTAACAGCCTGGAGCATATACAGGGGTTGGACAATGAAACTGAAACACCTGTCATTTTAGTGTGGGAGGTTTCATGGCTAAATTGGACCAGCCTGGTAGCCAGTCTTCATTGAATGCACATTGCACCAGTAAGAGCAGAGTGTGAAGGTTCAATTAGCAGGGTAAGAGCACAGTTTTGCTCAAAATATTGAAATGCACACAACATTATGGGTGACATACCAGAGTTCAAAAGAGGAAAAATTGTTGGTGCACGTCTTGCTGGCGCATCTGTGACCAAGACAGCAAGTCTTTGTGATGTATCAAGAGCCACGGTATCCAGGGTAATGTCAGCATACCACCAAGAAGGACGAACCACATCCAACAGGATTAACTGTGGACGCAAGAGGAAGCTGTCTGAAAGGGATGTTCGGGTGCTAACCCGGATTGTATCCAAAAACATAAAACCACGGCTGCCCAAATCACAGCAGAATTAAATGTGCACCTCAACTCTCCTGTTTCCACCAGAACTGTCCGTCGGGAGCTCCACAGGGTCAATATACACGGCCGGGCTGCTATAGCCAAACCTTTGGTCACTCATGCCAATGCCAAACGTCGGTTTCAATGGTGCAAGGAACGCAAATCTTGGGCTGTGGACAATGTGAAACATGTATTGTTCTCTGATGAGTCCACCTTTACTGTTTTCCTCACATCCGGGAGAGTTACGGTGTGGAGAAGCCCCAAAGAAGCGTACCACCCAGACTGTTGCATGCCCAGAGTGAAGCATGGGGGTGAATAAGTGATGGTTTGGGCTGCCATATCATGGCATTCCCTTGGCCCAATACTTGTGCTAGATGGGCACGTCACTGCCAAGGACTACTGAACCATTCTTGAGGACCATGTGCATCCAATGGTTCAAACATTGTATCCTGAAGACGGTGCCATGTATCAGGATGACAATGCACAAATACACACAGCAAGACTGGTGAAAGATTGGTTTGATGAACATGAAAGTGAAGTTGAACATCTCCCATGGCCTGCACAGTCACCAGATCTAAATATTATTGAGCCACTTTGGGGTGTTTTGGAGGAGCGAGTCAGGAAACGTTTTCCTCCACCAGGATCACGTAGTGACCTGGCCACTATCCTGCCAGAAGAATGGCTTAAAATCCCTCTGACCACTGTGCAGGACTTGTATATGTCATTCCCAAGTTGAATTGACACTGTATTGGCCGCAAAAGGAGGCCCTACACCATACTAATAAATTATTGTGGTCTAAAACCAGGTGTTTCAGTTTCATCGTCCAACCCCTGTAGATAAAACCCAGCATAACAAATGTGGCAAATGATGTACAGTATGTAATACCTACTCCAAAGTCATTCCAAAGTTGGAATGTTAAATGTTTGCAGATGCTGAACAGCAATAGCTATCAAAAAGCGATACATATAGAGGTGGTGCACTCAGCATTTTTCAAATTCTCCCCTCAAACCAAGTCGTTTGAAGATAAGCTCACAAATGTTAAAACAAATTTCTTTCTGTTCAAAAACTCACAATATAAACTAGTTCGCATTCACACTTCATATTTTTGTCCTAAAAATATAGATTGTGATGAACCCTTTAGCATATTAGATTTTTGCATAGGGCATAGAGGAGACTGTGGCTCAGTGGGAATAGTAGTTGTCTTGCAATACAAAAGCTGTGGGTTCGATTCCAGCTTCCTCCTGCAGCATGTTGATGTGCCCCTGGGCAAGGCGCTTAACCTCAAATTATCTACCGATCTGTGTAGTCGTGTATAAATGTGTGTACTTTAGCAAGTGCGTTTGGGTGAACGTGGCTCTAGTGTAAAGCGCTTTGAGTGTCGATATGACTGGAAAGGTGCTATATAAGTTCAGTCCATTTACCATAGAATTTGCAACCAGGTGCTGCAAAGTTTAACAGTTGTTAGCACTGTTGCCTTGCAAGAAGGTAATCTGGGTTTCAAATTCTGGGATCTTCCGGCATGCATGGAGTTTGTTCTCTCTGTGCATGCATGGGTTCTGTCCGGGTACTTTCTAAAAAACATGGTTGCTAGGTTTGGATAAGTGGGCATAGACAATGGATGGATTAGCTACCTGGTTTTTGTCAGCTTGTGTCAGAGTCTGGGAGTTCTGGAGTGTATGTGTTAACCAGTTCCACCACTAGGTGCCGCTGGAGCCATGGTGAACCGGAGGGTGACAGGTGTAGCTCGTCTCTCATCAGCCGGTGTGCTATAAGAGGGGGGACTGCCAGTTCATCTGCGGCTGAGTGTTTTGCCACCTGCGGTATTTCTTCCCAGTCTCATTCTAAACGTCGCTTATGTTAAACAAAGAATCTTCTTGCTAAGCCTCCTGCTAAACTACCTTGTTGTTCACTTAGGTGCTGTCTCCAGTTCTCGCTCGCTCCTGGTTCAAGAAACCACAGACCCCGCCTCGGAACGTGTCTTCTCTGGACTAATTACCCGGCTGGCAGTCTGCAACGAACTGGCACACGGCTCCCATTCGCGAAACCCCGTTCGGCCTGTGCAATGCTCCAGCGGTCTTTCAGGCCCTGTTTAATGACGTCTTAAGAGACTATCTAAACATCTTTGTCTTTGTTTACTTGGATGACATTCTCATTTATTCCAGGAGCCTGGCTGACCACCGCCACAACGCTTGCTGGAGAACCAGCTCTTTGAGAAGGCTGAGAAGTGCGACTACCACCAACCCTCCATTAGTTTCCTGGGTTTGATTCTCGAGGGTGGACAGGTTCGCGCTGACCTGGAGAAGATCAAGGCTGTCCTGGACTGGCCGGTGCCCGATTCAAGAAAACAACTGCAGCGTTTCCTCGGCTTTGCTAATTTTTATAGACGCTTTGTGCGAAACTACAGCCAAACTGCCAGCCCGTTAACGGCCCTCACTTCATTCAAGGTTCCTTCTGTCTGGATCCTGGAGGCCGACACAGCGTTCGCCGAGCTCAAGAAGCGGCGGGCCCTTTCTAATGACCCGGGGCCAGGGAATGAACCAGCTGGCCGCCTCTATGTGCCTGCAGCCGTGCGACCCCGACTGATCGTCTGGTTCCACTCCAAGTTCACAACGCATCCAGGTGCCAGCCAAACCATAGCCTCGATAGCCAGGAGATTCTGGTGGCCCACTTTGCATCGGGACGTGAAGGAATACATCGGTGCCTGTGCATCCTGTGCTAGGAATAAGACCTCCAACCGACCTCCCGCTGGCATGTTGCAACCCCTCGGCATCCCACAACGGCCCTGGGCCCACATCACCATTGACTTTGTAACCGGTCTACCATGCTCCCACGGCTTGATCGCTATCCTGACCATTGTGGACCGGTTTTCGAAGGCTTGTCACCTCGTCCCGCTCCGGAAGCTGCCTTCTGCCCTCCACACGGCCAAGATGCTGGTTAAACAAGTGTTTCGCCTACACGGAATTCCCCAGGAGATCTTGTCAGATCGAGGTCCACAGTTCCCCGCCCAGGTCTGGAGGGAGCTCTGTGCTGTCCTAGGTGCGAAAATTTCGCTGACCTCCAGCTACCACCCCCAATCTAATGGCCAGATGGAACGCCTGAATCAGGAATTAGAGTCAGCCTTGAGGTGCGTGACGTCATCCGACCCCACTGAATGGAGTACTTACCTGCCATGGGTAGAGTACTCCCACAACTCTCATGTTTCTCCTGCAACTGGGTGCACGCCCTTTGAAGCCTCTTTGGGATATCAGCCGCCGCTGTTCCCGGCCGACGAGAGGGAGATAGCTGTGACCTCGGTCCAGCACCATGTCAGGAGGCGTAGGCGCATCTGGATCACCACCGCCAGGGCACTCCAGAGGTCCGCCACCCAGAACATTCGCTATGCAGACAGACGACGCACGCAGGCCCTACCACTGTCCGCCTCCGCCTGCCGCCTAGTTTTTGTATCCACCCAGTTTTCCATGTCTCTCAGCTTAAGCCTGTTCGTCCAGTACGCTTTGCCCTCCGGCCGAGCGCCCCCACCCATCCGGGAGTTTCAGGGTCATCCAGTCTATACGGTCCACCGGATCGTGGCCTCCTGTCGGCGGGGTAGAGGTTGGCAGTACCTCGTTGACTGGGTGGGTTATGATCCGGAGGACCAGTCCTGGGTGCCCTGCTCCTTTATTGTGGACCCTGCCTTGATTCGGGACTTCCTGTCCACTCGGCCTACTCCTCCTGGGCTGCCAGGTGGCGGTTGTTGAGGGGGAGGTGGTGCCAGAGTCTGGGAGTTCTGGAGTGTATGTGTTAACCAGTTCCACCACTAGGTGCCACTGGAGCCATGGTGAACCGGAGGGTGACAGGTGTAGCTCGTCTCTCATCAGCCAGTGTGCTATAAGAGGGAGGACTGCCAGTTCATCTGTTGCTGAGTGTTTTGTCACCTGCAGTATTTCTTCCCAGTCTCATTCTGAACCTTGCTTATGTTAAACAAAGCTAAGTATTAAACCTTTATTAATGTTGTGATAGTACTATAGGAGGGGCCCTGGGAACGTTACGTCATCTACTAATAAACAAAAAAAAAAGGTAAACAGGAGAGACAATGATCAGATGTTACCCTCTAAACTTATTTATGCTTTCCAAATATGCCGGTGCCTCCAATTAACATGAAAATGTCTGAGCTACTATGTTATAACCTCACAAAACAATGTTCATGTTCAAAATCTGTTTAGATCTGCAGTAAATAAATTATGACACAACTCAAAATCTACTATAAAAGAAGATTTTAGTGAAAGAAAAATATTATTTAGACATATAAAACAAAACAAAATTGAGGTGTGTTCTTATACACAGAATACTATTCAACCTCCAATACTCAACAGTATCACAAAATATAATATTTAATAATACCCTGCTCTTTAAGTTCAGTTCAGAATCAGATTTCTTTTTACAACAGTAGGGTCTCAAAAATTTGATAAAGAAAACCGTTGCAGGCCTGAAGCATGGCTCGGGTTCGTAGTGACCACAAACAAAATGGTCGCTTCACGTGTAAATAAGCATAAAATAAAATGCACGTGCTCTCAAGTACTCACGGATCCCTTTAGTTCAGTATGAGAAATGGATGAAGTCTTATCGATCACCAGGTAGGTCCCTCTCAAAAGTAGAGCTGGAATTATCTTCACACCACAGGTTATATGGGGTACACTGAAGATTCTATCCACAACAGAAGAGTCCAGAGAATTCCTATCGGTCCACTGTGTATTAGAAGTCTCTATTTAGTTCATATATTTGGCTAAGGCTCATATACTCTACATATAAAGTTACAATTAGCTCACGCTCAAGTGCTAACATGCTAACTCGCGATTAGCATCACACTTCTATGCACTTCAACATATAGCTGTAAGCACAAAAATCATATACATCGAGTACTCCCCCAGTACAAGGTTAAACAGTCCATAACAGGAACGTAGACTCTGCATCCACGAGTACTTTATGACCGTTTTCAACTTGCCTTCATTTCTCAGCTTACTTCTGGCAAAACGTAGCAGCCGAATGCCGTACACCTGGATGATTTTTACTCTAGCCTCAATTAAGTCCCACCCTCACACCTGTGATTGAACATTAAGTTTACATCAACCAATAAAATAAAAGAAAATACAAGACTGACAGCAAAACACGTTAGGTTGGGTACAGAGCACGCACTTAAAATATTTCTCTTTTAATCAAGCTTTCAGCAAACACACAGTATGTTACCAAAACTAAACAGCAAAACCTTTTGTTGCTTAAAACAGTTTTTACCTATTTATGAACACTTCTAACAGATAAATGAACTAGATTTTATTGTGCTTTTAACTATAGTTACTGCATTTTAATTCAGCTTTAATATATTTGCAACATATGCAGAATTACAAACTCCAATGATGGCATTTCAATTTTAGCCTTTTTAGTCTGAACAGAATATTATAGGCTGGGCTATACTTAGATGCAGTCTCCAGTTCTCGCTAGCTCCTGGATCAAGGAACCACAGACCCCGCCTCGGAGCGTGTCTTCTCTGGACTAATTACCCGGCTGGCAGTCTGCAACGAACTGGCACACGGCTCCCATTCGCGAAACCCTTTCCAACCCCCACCGGAGTTCTGTTTCATTCCTTCCTGACTGCCAGTGGCAGTAAACAAAGTGGTTATGTCTCCTCGCGCTCCGCGCAAGTCGAGATTAAATGTATACAAAGTCACGCACGTGACACGTAGCCCACCTGGGCGTGCGTCTATAAGTAGCACGTGGAAGGCTACGTTCGGCCTCTTTGATCTTCTCGCTGTCGACCGTCGCGTGTTTCGCAGGTTGGTCGCTCCTATAAGTCCGTGTTTCGGCGCTTATTGGGTATTGCAGGTCTAAGAGAGGTAAGCACACGGTTTGTGTGATACGGCGTCATCCTGCCTGTGACTTTTCGTCGGAGTGCTCTTGTTAGCCCTCTAAGGCTGTGGTTGACGTGGCTCTGTTTTTTTGTTCATTCTAGTAGCCGGAAGCTTGGTGCTGGCGCTTCTTTTCCCCTGTTGAGACCGGGTGGAGAGGAGCGGACAGCTGCAGTTTTCAGGTGAGCGGAAGCTGGACGTTCTGACCGCGTTCTGTGCTGCACAGTTCTCGCTCGGATTACCTGGCTCGTGTCTGTATAGAAAGCAGTGTAATTAAATAGAGGCCTCTGATCGCGTTCTTCAGTTCTATTGAAGTCCTCGCTCAGTCTGCCTGTTGCCTGCCCGCATTTCCCACGGCTGTGAT